CAGGTGTGCTGTGCAACAGCCCTGTGTGCTGGGTGGAGTGTACTCTGTGAACCCTGTCCTGAGGAAACAACAATTTCCAAGGATTTTGCAAGATCTAAGTAGCTTTATTCCTTGGCTCAAGGAACTGCTTGCTAAGGGAAACAGAAACATGGGAAGCTCAAGGGTGGTATAACTTTGGTAACATCTCATTTCTTCACTAAGGCATGGTTGCTTCCTTTTAAAAGGGTTTGGATACTGTAACCTGGGTGTTTAATTCCTCTGAATATAAGCTGACATGACTGTCTTGTCATAGGACAGGCTTATGTTCATACTAGTGAGAGTTTCTCTGGATGGGGAACACTCCTCACTTTGTGGGCAGTAATTAGTTGGAATGAGCTGTTCTTGCCGGCTTGACTGTCCAGACTCTCCCAGTATAACAGAAATTAAACACCATGTAGCTAATAAGACTCACACATAGGAAGTTCATTTCATTCCTGTCTTCCATTGAGTGCGTAGCTGCTTTTAGGTAGAAATACTAATCAAAACTTTCTGGAAGTTAACTTCAATCTAATATTATTTTTCCTTTCTCTTCTGAAACAGCTGATGAGAGTTCGAACTCTCACTGGGAACACGTACTACATGAGGTCGGGTGCCAAAATTGTTGGGAAAGTCCATGAGAAGTTCATGTTAATTGATGGCATTAGAGTGATAACAGGCTCCTACAGGCAAGTATTGGGGTCTGCTGGTGTCTGATGAAGCTATGGGAAGTGGAGGGGGTTCTGCAAGAAGGATGTATTAACTTTGCTTTGTGCCTGATATCAGTGCATCCCAATGGCAAGTGGACTAGTTGAGTCCAAGTGTGACTAGCACAAAACTGGGAACAGCTTTGGAAAACTGGTTTATATAACTTGTTGCTAGCAAAGCCCTTGGCCATGGCTAAATAGAATTCTTCCTGAAGAAGAGGGAGTGAATTGTCTATCAACTTTATGCCTTCCTTATGCCCAGCACTCCTGAGTTGTGCTGTCTGTAGCTGTATGTGCTGAAATGCACTGGAGATTAACTGTGAATTTTGGTTTGTTTTCAACAGCTTCACGTGGTCCGATGGGAAGCTGAACAGTAGTAATTTGCTGCTACTGTCAGGTCAGGTGGTTGAACACTTTGATCTCCAGTTCAGAATTCTTTATGCCCAGTCAATGCCCATCAACCCGAAGTGGCCATCCAGCTGCAGGAACAGCGGGATATTTGACCACCTCCCAAACAGAACAGAGTCCCCTAGAAAATATACTGTGGAAGAGAACTTGAGAGCAGAATTTGCCAGACTCTCTAGTACTCCAAAGAGATTGTTGAAAGATCAGGCTGAAGGTACTCCTGGAGGAAAACTTTGTGACCTGGGACGTTCTTTCCTCTGTGAAGAGGAGTGGTTCAGTGATCAAGAGGCCATAGTGGAACGGAGAAATGCATCGACTCAAACTGGCCCGTGGGAGGAGGTGCCTGTGGTGACCAAGTGTAATGCTGCCACACAGACCGGTGCCGGAACGGCAGAAACTGGCACTCAGACTTCTGTCCCTGCTAGAATGATGGGCACTCAGACATCAGTTTTGCTGAAGACTGCAGTGACGCAGACAAAGGAAGGTGAGTGCACAGAAACACCCCTGCTTCAGAGAAAGTTGTCCAAAGAAGAACCTTTTCTGCTTGGAAAGGTTGTATCAAGTTCTAGTCTGCGATCGCTGTCTTCATCGTCGTCCCAGTGCTCCCTTACAAGCTCTACCGGCTCAGTGTCTTCTCTCCGGTCCTTCGAATATCCCAGTAGTCACAGGGCAGAGTATTTCCACAAACTGCACAAAGAGAGGCAATTCCACTACTCCACCATCAGGTCGAAGCTCAGCCACATGGTGGATATCCTGTCCCGGAGAGGCCGCGTGCCTGAAAACTACATGACGCGATACCCGGGGAGATCCAACCTGAAACAGAGGCGTGACATCAGCACCAGCCTGCGCAGCCTCCGCGACGTGTCCCTCTTCTCCCTGAATAGATGATCACCCCACTGAATGCGGAGCAAAAAAAGCTCGGGTCTCAAACTGCTGTCACTTTGTACCTGTCAGTTCTTCCGCTTTCTTCCAGCACTTTTACTTTTTTTAATACTTGTGTGTGTCACTCTCCAGCACTTTGTTTTATACTATGCAATTTAAGCAATTAAAAAAAAAAATGGGGGGTTTATTTATACTGTAACTACTTGCATGTTCTTTTTATATGCATTAGTGGTGAAGGTTGATTTTAATTCTGGATGTTTAACCTGAAGAGTGAACTCATTACTGCTTTTTAGGGTTGCTAATGCTCTGGCTTTAATTTATGTAAACTTGAAAAAAAATAAGTCTGAGTCAGACTAATCTTGCTCAGAGTGGCTTTGGAGATTTAGCTCACATCAAGGTATACTCATTTTTTTTCTTTTTAATATTGGCTTTTATTTCTACTTTATCTTTGGCATGAGGGGAAACAACTTTTATAAAGAGCCATAAAGCTAATTTTATTCTAAGTCTGACCAGCAAGATATACACTATTTTTACAATAAAGTTGTAATGGGTCTGTTGGGGCAGTTGCAGATTCTTATCTTCAGCTGTATTGTTTTTCCATTGTTTAAGCCTCCGAAACAACTTTTATAAAGAGCCATAAAGCTAATTTTATTCTAAGTCTGACCAGCAAGATATACACTATTTTTACAATAAAGTTGTAATGGGTCTGTTGGGGCAGTTGCAGATTCTTATCTTCAGCTGTATTGTTTTTCCATTGTTTAAGCCTCCTGAAATGCACTGGGCTAACTCTTCAGTTCAATTATCCTCTCATGCCATTGTGTAGGTATACATACATACTGTAGGGGGGGTCGGTCTCTTCTCCCAAGGAACAGGTGAGAAGATGAGAGGAAATGGCTTCAAGTTGCATCAGGGGAGGTTCAGGTTGGATATTAGGAAAAAGTTTTCCACTGAAAGATCTCTCCAACTCCCGGAAAGGAGGGGGTAGCCAGGGGGGGTCGGTCTCTTCTCCCAAGGAACAGGTGAGAAGATGAGAGGAAATGGCTTTAGGAAGGATATTGGGAAAAATTTCTTCACCAAAAGCACTGGAACAGGCTGCCCAGGGAAGTGGTAGAGTCACCATCCCCGGAGGTATTTAAAAGATGGGTAGACGTGGTGTTGAGGGACATGGTTTAGTGATGTTTTTCATCAGGGTTAGGTTGATGGTTGGACTAGATGATCTTAAAGGTCCTTTCCAACCTAGACGATTTTGTGATTCTATAAAATGTGTATATACACATCTTTGGAGAACATCTTTTTAAAACCAAGACCAGGAAGTAGCAACTTAGCACTCCAAGATAGCTTTGCCCATTTTTAGGTGCAGCCCTGATGTAAATGTTTCTAGTATTAGGAATGAGAAGCTAGCTCTTTTGATGGACATATAAGAATATTAATGGGAATATATTCCCTAATTGTTGTTTTTTTGCATGTGTGAGTGGGAGATGAGGCCATACCTGGAGTTCAGTGTCTTGTGGGCACATACCTGTTGTACTTCCTTTGGGATGACTTCAGAGTACTTTGTCTCTTGTGCAACTTTTGTTTAAAAGAATTAAGACTTTTAGTCTTAGCACTGTAAAATGTGCTTCCTGTTCTGGCTTGGTCTAGGAATGTCTGAACCATTTTGTTTCCATCAAGACCTGTGAACAGCTTCCTTTGGAGCTGACACAAACACTGAGGGTGCATGACAAAGCCCCCATCAAAAGTTAACTGACAAATGCACTACAACATATTATGGGTTATGTTCACTAATATTATTGTATGAGTAAGAGTGAAAAATACATTTTTTTTTTCTCTTTGAACTGTTCTATCTGAAATTTTGTTTCCTGCTCTGTTTATCCTTTATTCACTACTAACTTGGTTTGAGGAGCTGAAGTGTGGCTCTAATTTTTTTAAAAATAATCTAACTTTTGATATTAAATGGATTTTGCAGACATTATCTGGATATTTGTTAGCAGCCTTCTCTGTGTGTGTGTGTCTGCTTCTTGGATCATTCATCCAAGCAGTGTGTGGGTTCTCCCCCTGAGCTCTGACTGCACTGAAACACTTCAGAGTAACCAGAGTGGATTCTGCCAAGTCAAATCAGAGTCTGGGTTATGCATTTTCTTATTTATTGGGCACCTGTGTCCAGTAGATGGCACATTTCAGCTGCTGTCTTGAATATTCCTGTAAACAGTGATGAACAGAATGATATCCAAAACTTAAAACGGCTGTAACGCTTAAATTTGGCATTTCTGTCTCTGAAATTGGTATGGAGAAAGAGAATTAGCTCCTTCCATTGCTTGAAATGAAAGCAATGCCAGCCCCTCCCTGCGGCTGTAAGGCAGATGTACAAAGATGTGCAGGTGGGGAAAAAAGCTTTGTCTGCACTTCTTTTAAAAGATAAGAGACTCTTGTATGTCCCTGGAACCCCAGCAGTGAAGCTAGTTGCAGGGAGGGATCCAAGCTACACCTTCAAAGCCAAGCTTGAGTGGTGTCTTTCAGAGCTCGTGTTCAAGCTGTGCTTCAGCGTGTGTAAAACCACCTTGTGTATTCTATGTGTTCTTTATTACCCGGTGCAGCTCTTCGGGTGCGCTCAGAGGAAAGAGAAACAGTTTACAAATAAACTCCTTTAGCCAGGGGGGTTTTCACCCGGCAGTCGCGGAGCTTTGTTTCCCTTTGTTTGCGGGGGGTGACTCAGGCCGCGCTCGCCCCGCGGTGCCCTCCCGTTGCCCGGGGCGAGCGGAGCCGCCTGGGACGGAGCCTTTCGCCCTCTCTCACCTTTGGGAGCCGCCGTTTGACCGGGGCTCGGCCAGCAGGTGGAGGGCAGCGCTTCATTAGCTCGGGCTTCGCTTCTCCCGGGGGCGGGGGGACGCCACCCGTGGGTGCCGGGGCTCCACCGTCCCCCGGGGCCAGGCGGGGAGGGGGGGCCGAGCCGCTATAAAGGTGTCGGGGAGCGGGCCCGGCGCGGCGTTCGCCATGGCCAACCCGTCGCAGTGCCTGGAGGAGGGCGGCGGGCGCTGGCCGCCGCGGCCGCCCGGGCCGTACAGCGAGGCGCAGCGGCTGGCGCTGGAGGAGCTGGTGTCGGGCGGCCCCGAGGCGCTGCGGGCCTTCCTGCGGCGGGAGCGGCTGCCGCCCTTCCTCTCGGAGCCCGAGGTGCAGGCCATCGCGCGGGGCGCCCTGCCGCCCGCCGCGGGCCCGGAGCCGGCGGGCGAGGCCTCCCTCGACGCCTCCTCGCTCACCTACTTCCCCGAGCGCTCGGACCTGGAGCCGCCGGCGCTGGAGCTGGGCTGGCCGGGCTTCGCCAGCGGCGCCTTCCGCGGGCTGACGCGGGTGGAGGCCCACTTCCAGCCGGGCTGCGGGGACAGCATCTACGGCTGCAAGGAGGCGGTGCGGCGGCAGATCCGCTCCGCTCGACAGGTCAGTGGGTCCCCGGCCCCGCTCCCGCACGGCTCCCCCGCACCCTCCCCGCCTGCCTCCCCTTCGTTTGCTTCTAAATCGACTCCCCAGTTCGCTTACTGTGCTATTTCGGCGTTGCTTTGTTCCCCCCCCTCCATCTTTTGTCTTTATCTTTTTAACAGGTTCGTTATTTTCAAGCTTTTCCCCCTTCTCGTATCGGTGAAAACCGTGTCCTACCACACCGTCCTTCCCGCCTTCATTTACTTGTAAATAAACTCCTAGTTTTACCTACTACGTTTTGTCGGCATTCCTCCCTCCCACCTTTTGCATTTATCTTTTTAATAGTTTTTTTATTTTAAAAGTTTAAAAAATCTTTAAAGTTTATTACTTACCACTGTAGAGAGGTTGGTGCTGGTCTCTTCTCGCAGGTAATCAGTGACGGAACGAGAGGGAACGGCTTCAAGCTCCAACACGGTAGGTTTAGATTCAACATTAGGAAAGAATTTTTCACCAAAAGAGTGGTCAGACACTGGAACAGGCTGCCCAGGGAGGTGGTTGATTCACCATCCCTGGCTGTGTTTAAGGGCCGTTTAGATGCAGTGCTGAGGGACATGGTGTAGGGGAGGACTTTGTAGAGTAGGGGAGATGGTTGGACTCGATGATCCCAAGGGTCTCTTCCAACCTAGACGATTCTATGATTCTACTTTAAAGATTTTTTTTCTCCCCTTATACTCACGAAAACTGAGTCTACCCACACTGTCCCCCCCTTCATTTACTTTGAAATAAACTCTTGATTTTACTTTACTTTTACTATGCTATTTCGTTATTACTACATCCTCCTCTCTCCCTCTTTTTTGTATTTATCTTTTTAATAGTTCCATTATTTTCAAGCGGTTTCACCCCCGTATTGGTGAAGACTGAGCCCATGCTGTCTGGCTCTCACTCAAAGAATTGGCACCAGTGAGCAGTGTGTCCCAAACACTCCCATTTCCAGCTCTTTTAAGTGGTTCCACATCGTGCCCCCGCAGCAAACTTGGGGTTCAGCCCGTGGGACAGATCAGAGGGGCAGTTGCTGCTCAAGGGAGGTTTTTACTCAAGGACCTTGGGCGAATAATCAGGTCTTGGCTTGAAATATCATGAAAATCTGAATAATAAGTTGAAGACAAACCTCATTTTTATCTTAAATACAGAGGTGAGATGTAAAGAGCAGTTAGACACTAGTGAATTATTTTTTTTTTTACTGTTTCTTTGAAAAGTTTGAAGGACTCTGGAGAACTTAAGTTTTGGAAATAAGCTCACCTCTTCCTTCAGGCAATGCTTTTGAGGAAAATACATCAGTTCTTAGGAAATAAAACAAACCTCTTCCCTAGGAATCAGAGACCAAATTTGACTAACACAGAACGAGCCCCCCTGTCTATCCCATATCTCAGGGTGAGGAAGAAACTTGAAGCAATACGTTATTTTGCCGCTGTTTTGGTTCTTCCCAGATATTCTCAGCACCCTCAAACATCTCCACAATCAACTCAGTGATCCGGTTACACCAAAAGTTACTGATGTAGCTGAAGAAGACTGACAGCAAAATGTCTTTCTTTTCCTCTTGCAACATACCTTTTTCATCAGCTCTCTTTGGTGTTTGGAGAGGTGTCAAGTCTTCCTCTGCCTTCGTAGGTCTCGACACCGCTCTAGAGGTGGTGGGAAAGGAGAAAATGCTCAGGTTTCTCTGATTTTTTTTCTTGAAGGTGTATTTATGTTGTAAAAAAGGGAAGGGTTTAGTACAACCTTAAATAAAAGCTACGAGTAATGGGCTACTGAATATATGCAGGAGCTATCATTGCTGTTAATGAGTGATGAACTCTCATTTTTAAATAGAGAAAAGGTGTCTTTCCACACTAGGTGTTCAGGCTGGGTTAGTCATACCTAACAAACCAAAAAAAAATACAGATCCTGAAAAAAGAAGCTTCAATGTCTGCTGCTGAAATTGCAGTAAAACCAAAACTCTACAATGTGATAATAAAAATATAGTATCACAGAAGACTGTACCATGTTCCATAGGCACCAGGGAAAAAAAGGGGGGGGGGG